ATCTAACGAAATGGATCTTAATATTAATTTAATACCAAACAGAAAACAATAAACTTGTGGAAAAGATGGTATACCACAAACATGAGGTGCAAAAATTTGTACACCATATCCGGATTTCGACAATTAATGTCTCTTCAGTGATGTTAGGGATCAAAACGGTATTATGAAGGCCATATAATTTACCTCAATTTAGGATAGACTCTTGAATTTTAAAGAGTCGAAATAGGATGAACGGATCATATAAACCCGAAGGAAAATATAATACAATCCCAAACGAAAAAATATATAAAAGTGTAAATTGAAAACAACGTTCAAACCTATGATTGCGTTGGATAAAAACCGCAATTTTTATACGTGTGCATGTAAAACAAATTTCTTGGTAGAGGGGTCTAAATACAGCACAAACAACAATTTCCAAAAGACCAAAAAAAGTGAAAAAGTCTATTTTAACAAAACGCATTTGACTAACAGGTCGAACAACTGATGTTCTTAAACCCTGCTGACTGCCATTGGCGATTGCCAAATAAATTGATCACCAGATCTAACGAAATGGATCTTAATATTAATTTAATACCAAACAGAAAACAATAAACTTGTGCAAAAGATGGTATACCACAAACATGAGGTGCAAAAATTTGTACACCATATCCGGATTTCGACAATTAATGTCTCTTCAGTGATGTTAGGGATCAAAACGGTATTTGGAAGGCCATATAATTTACCTCAATTTAGGATAGACTCTTGAGTTTTAAAGAGTCGAAATAGGATGAACGGATCATATAAACCCGAAGGAAAATATAATACAATCCCAAACGAAAAAATATATAAAAGTCTAAATTGAAAACAACGTTCAAACCTATGATTGCGTTGGATAAAAACCGCAATTTTTATACGTGTGGATGTAAAACAAATTACTTGGTAGAGGGGTCTAAATACAGCACAAACAACAATTTCCAAAAGACCCAAAAAAGTGAAAAAGTCTATTTTAACAAAACGCATTTGACTAACAGGTCGAACAACTGATGTTCTTAAACCCTGCTGACTGCCATTGGCGATTGCCAAATAAATTGATCACCAGATCTAACGAAATGGATCTTAATATTAATTTAATACCAAACAGAAAACAATATAGATTGCCTAACAATGTAATTTTAACACACTATTTAGTATGTAAATATAAGTATGTTTAAAATATTTACAAAATGATGAAAATAAACGCAATATTTCGCTAGACTAACTAGCTTTATCAAGCGTGCATCTATCCAGGTGAAATCGGATGTAGATGATAAGAAACTTTTGCAGCTCAATGAATATGTTGCACTTGAATTTAGCTGCCTTGAAAATAATACATAATTTGGATGAAGTTCAAGATTTTTACAAAATTGGTAGTTGAAGTTAGCAACGTCCATTGGCCAATATTGCAAGATAAAAAGGATGATGACTGTGTACTAAATTGTTCTTTATCTTTCCTGTATCTTTTCTCATCTTTTTCGTTAAGACCATCAGGTTCTAAAGTGTGGAGTTGAAGGATCCAAAAATTAGTGAAAAAAATCCTCCAACTGAGTGCCTTGTTACACTTCTGAAACTAGTGCTAGAGAACAACAACTTCTCTTCCAATGAAAAACATTATCTCCAGATAGACGGTACTAGTATGGGCACAAAAATGACCCCGTCATATGCCAACATATTTATGGGCCAACTTGAAAAACGCCTCTTGGCTAGTGCTCCATACCAGCCCTTATCATGGTTCCGATTCATTGACGATATTGATTTCAAATGGACAGATTCACAAGAACATCTTAATGAATTTCTAGGACACTGTAACTCTTTCCACCATTCAATAAAATTTACATATGAATCATCTATGGAGAAAATAAACTTCCTCGACACTACGAGTTACATAAAGAACGGAACCATTATAACGGACCTTCATACCAAACAAACGGACAAACATCAATTCCTTTCTCCTAAAAGTTGCCATCCTAAACACTGCTCCCGTGACATCCCATTCAGCCAGGCATTGCGAATCAAGAGAATATGCTCTACTGAAAATACGCAAAATGCTAGACTTGGACAACTACGTAAACATCTAGTTGTTCGAGGATACAATAACAACATCATTGATAGCGCTTTCGAAAGAGCAAACAAAACTAGTCGCCAAGAACTTCTAGAGTACAAAGATAAGAATAAAGCAGCTAACAGAACACCCCTTGTACTCACTTACCATCCTGATTTTAAAAATGTGTCTTCCATTGTTCAGAAGCATTGGAAAATTATAGAAAATGATTCAAATCTTAAAAAAGTATTTTCCTCACCACCAGTCATGGCCTTCAGAAGACCTAAAAACATCCGTGACAAATTAGTGACATCTATATTAGCAAAGCAGCCTACTCCATCTCCCGGTTGCTACAAACAATGTGGTCGAAGGAACTGCTTGTGTTGTCAATACAAGCAGTTCTTTCATCAGCTCCGTTACTAAACAAAATTAAACCATCTACTCAAATTCCAACTGTAAAACGGAGAACTCAATTTATATATTAACATGTGACACTTGTGGCATTCAGTATGTGGGAGAAACAATGGACAAATTTAATATTCGGCTCAATAACCATCGTTCATGGTACAAAACCAACAAAAACTGTCCGCTCACAAGACATCTTCGTTCAACGAAACATTCTTTTGATAATGTTACTTTCCAAATCATAGAAGTCAACACCGAGCGGGACACCACGGCGAGAAGGGAAGAAAAAATGTTTGATCCACCAACTCCACACTTTAGAACCTGATGGTCTTAACGAAAAAGATGAGAAAAGATACAGGAAAGATAAAGAATAATTTAGTATACAGCATCATCCTTTTTATCCTGTAATATTGGTCAATGGACGTTGCTAACTTCAACTACCAATTTTGTAAAAATCTTGAACTTCATCCAAATTATGTATTATTTTCAAGGCAGCTAAATTCAAGTGCAACATATACATTGAGCTGCAAAAGTTTCTTATCATCTACATCCGATTTCACCTGGATAGATGCACGCTTGATAAAGCTAGTTAGTCTAGCGAAATATTGCGTTTATTTTCATCATTTTGTAAATATTTTAAACATTCTTATATTTACATACTAAATAGTGTGTTAAAATTAAATTGTTAGGCAATCTATAATTTTATTTGTGTAATTGAATTAATCTCTGTACTGATTACATCACACTCCCATAGATTTGTATGTCATGTGCTGCTATTTATAGGCACTTATATATATATATATATATATATATATATATATATATATCCTAACATCACTGAAGAGACATTAATTGTCGAAATCCGGATATGGTGTACAAATTTTTGCACCTCATGTTTGCGGTATACCATCTTTTCCGCAAGTTTATTGTTTTCTGTTTGGTAATAAATTATTATAAGATCCATTTTGTTACATCTGGTGATCCGTTTATTTGGCAATCGCCAATGGCAGTCAGCAGGGTTTAAGAACATCAGTTGTTCGACCTGCTAGTCAAATGCGTTTTGTTAAAATATATTTTTTCACTTTTTTGGTCTTTTGGAAAATGTTGTTTGTTCTGTATTTAGACCTCTCTACCAAGAAATTTGTTTTTCATGCACACGTATAAAAATTGCTGTTTTTATCCAACGCAATCATAGGTTTGAACGTTGTTTTCAATTTAGACTTGTATATATATATATATATATATAGTGTCTAAAAATAGCAACAATCAACATTCAATCTATCTAGGCGTGGATCAGTTTGTAAATAAACTGATGCAGTTACTACATTAAATTATATAAGTGCCTAAGAATGTAACTTTAACACACTAATGAGTGTTATAAAATTAGTTGTTATATTTTATATTATTCACGCAATATTTCGCTAAACAAATTAGCTTCATCAGGCGTGTGCATCTCTCAAGGTGAAATCGGATGCATGACAAGAAAATATTTTTGTAGCTTGAACTACACAAAATTTGAGTAAAAGTTTAACAAAATTTATTGATGTTCTATAAAAGATATGTGTTTGTAAATTGCCTAGAAAAATATTTTTGCCTTTTATTGTTAGCTTGAACTACACAAAATTTGAGTAAAAGTGTAACAAAATTTATTGATGTTCTATAAAAAATATATGTTTGTAAATTGTCTAGAAAAATATTTTTGCCGCTTATTGTACATAGCAATTCTTAAATCAAAACAATCTGATGCATCCAGAACCTTTCTCTCTGTTTTCTCCTTTGGGAGTCCCAATTTCGGTTTACCTCAATTATTTGAAAGGTGTTATTTTCAAAAGTATGCCCTGTTCTTAAGAGGTGTCTCGTAATTGGACAGTTTCTTCCTTTTGTATAAAAAGACCGGTGATTGTTAAGTCTGATGTTGAATTTCGTTTCTGTTTCACCAACATACTGCAGCTTGCAAGTTCCACAAGTAAGAATATAAATACTATTTTCCGTTTTGCAATTAGATGTAACATAGATGTTGTATCGCTGCTTTGTTACTGTGCTGCTGCAAGAGTGGTCAGTGTTGGTGACTTTACAGCACTTACAGTTGGTTCTTCCGCATTGTTTGTAACACCCAATTTTAGAAGTCTCTTGTTTCTTTACTTTAGATGTGACAGGTATGTCTTTGAGATTTTTGGGTCTGCGATAGGCAATAACAGGAGGTGATGGAAAAATTTCTTTTACGGAAGAGTCATTTTCGATAAGACGCCAGTGCTTGCGGATAGTAGATGAAATATTTGTCAAATCGGGATGGAAGGTGACAACAAACGGAATTCTATCTGCGCGGGTCGTCTTATCTTTGTATTCCATGAGGATATCTCGATCTTTTCACCTTGAGAGATGCACACGCCTGATGAAGCTAATTTGTTTAGCGAAATATTGCGTGAATAATATAAAATATAACAACTAATTTTATAACACTCATTAGTGTGTTAAAGTAACATTCTTAGGCACTTATTGCTAACGAATTAGGTTTGTAATTCCTAAATTTATGACTTACCACATTGAAGCTTTTAACTGGGATATACTGTTCATAACCTTCCCAGAAATACCTATTGTACTCTCCTACTACCACACTTAACCCGCGTCTCCTAAAAGAAATCATAAAAAATGTAATCTTTTGCTGTCATCTAGCTTTTGACATTTCATGTAAAGTTACAATATGGGGCCTCGGTGGCCGAGTGGTCTAAGTAGTCGAACTGCTGTATCACTAGTCAGTCAACACTGCGGTTGTGAGTTCGAATCCCGCACGTGGCAGGTGCGCTCGACTTCAATCTTAATTGACTAGGATTGTCAGTTTTCTTACGAAGGTCGGTGGTTTTCTCCGGGCACTCCGGCTGCCTCCGCCAATAAAAATTAACCACCATGGCCACGAACTAGCACAATAGTACTGAAAGTGGCGTTAAACACCAATCAATGTATCAACCATAAAATAATATATTTGAGATATTGAAAAGTGACACTATACCTGTTGGTTGCTAATATTTTTATTGTTTATGTAATTAAAAAAAAAATTTATTATGTTTCCATTAATAATCGGGCAAAAAAATAATCAATGCCTCTCTTTTGTTTCCATTCCTCTTAATCGAAACTGACGATCTTTTTTTTTTACATTATCAATTAATATTGTTTATCTTGATAACTTCGAGTAACCACTCTGATAAATCCATATTTGTTTCTTCTTGAATTCCCAGACATTTTTCCTGAATTTGCAATATGACTATTTATACAATTGATGGGTAGAGTATGTAAGCGATCCTTTTTTTACTTTAAGTTGATTTGTTGTTGAGAAAAGTAGCACGTGGATAGACATACTAATAAGATCCGATCTGTAAGTCGGAAGAGAATCCATAGCACTATTCTCAATTGGCAAATCTCATGTGGTACCTACATCACGATAGATTTTTTACCTGACATGGTGAGGTGTGCCGAATGAGAACACGAAGGGACAAAGGCCACCATATTAATACAAATCATAAACAAAGGGCACGTCAAGATAAAGAGTAATATTTGAAACAAGGTTTGACAATACGGACTTTCGAGAAAAAAAGAAAAACAGGCAGAGATATAAACTGATCCGAAATGGTAAGCACATCCTGTTCCGCATGCGTAACATAAACTTCATAACATATTTTTCAATTCTAAAAAAGCTTACCTTGATCCATCCAGACAATGTGCTGCTGTTATGACAACATCATAAGATATAAGTGTACCTCCACAGAATACACCATAAGCCGATATTAGGCCAACCTGCCACGGCCATGAACTTAATGAAGCATCACGACCTCCAACAATAAAACTATCTGGTACCCTGGTCTTCCCTTCATTTCCGACCATTAAGCTATCTGGAACCCTGGTCTTCTCTCCTCCTTCAACTATAAGACTATCTGGTACCCTGGTCTTCTCTTCTCTTCCTTCAACTATAAGACTATCTAGCATTCTAGTCTTCTTTCCAGCTGCTCGTCACATTTATGAAAATGATGATTATAAGTTAAAAAATTTTAGGCTAGAGGGGAAATAAGTATTTACCGAATTTGGTCGAAAATTACTTCATGATTGTGATATGATATCTAAAGAAACAAAATGAGCTGTGCAATATGACGGCTCACCAATGACACCATCGTTTTAATATTTGGTTAACATGAAGTTATAGCGTAATGGATGATAAAAACGTATCACACTGTATCATGCTCACACGAGGCTTTGTTTCAAAACTAAGAAAGCCTTGATTTGTAGTTCATGAGAATAATACGACGAAAATTTCATAAAAGTATGGCCATTGCGTGAAACGAAAATTACATACATGGCCATTACGTGAAAGTGTTTTCAGTGTTGCTTGTCTGTTCGTCTGTTTTTCGGCAATGTTCGTTTTTTTTTTCTCGACGTTAGATTTCCGATTGTCCCCTTGGTATCATTTCCTTTTTTCCAAGACTTCTTTTGTTTTAAGTTGTATAATTTGGGTTTCTGTCTTATCCATATTTTTGAAAATGACCGTTCACTAAACTTTATTACAATATTTTTATTTCACTGATTTCTTTATGCTCATAAGAGAAGAGCACGCGAGTTGCGATAGATCTTAATTTTAATCACATTGGTCGTTCCCTGCATGGAACTACAAGTCTTGCTTTAAATATTGTTGTTGTCTGATGCTTCGTTAAATTAGTAGGATTTAAATCAGTTTTAAAACGAAAATGATTTTTATGTATTAGCTAATGTTTGTATATCAATAAAACCAACTGTGAGATCTCTGATCTATTAAAATGTGTACCTTTAATTCTAAGATTAAAGGTGAATGTCTCGAATGTCTCGAAATTTATGTTTCTATACAAAACATAACAGAAAGACATAATATAATGTTTACCTGTAGAATTTTCGATGAACAAACAACACGACACCACAAATGCAAGTCTGAGCATTTTCTGTAAGAACAAGAAAAGTACATTACATTTTAAAAGATAAATTTGGATCACTGTAACGAATTCAAATTCATAATTGGTAACATTTCTGACATTATGCAAAGTAACAATACAAATTACAATACCTAATATATTAAATAACGACTGTTAAAAAAATAATCGATATTTGATTCGAGGCAACGCTTGAAGGGTGCCATGTTTATGGTGACATCAAACGTTCAAAACCTACCTCCAACAGAAAAAGAAAAAAACAGCGGACCCAAAGCATGTCACACACATTTTATCTCCCTTTTAAAAATCAAAATCATTGATGTTCAATAATTTGATCGAACAAGTTACAAATCCGTTTTTAATCTTGTCATTGAAACCAAATAATATTTATGACATATATATATATATATATATATATATGTCTGATTTTCAAATATATTCTTTAAAAAAAATAATGTTTCTGATTATCCTACTTGCAAGCAGACGTAAAATAAAAAAAAAAAAACACACACACAACTTTAGCCTTTCTGTCAAATGATGCATGTAAGTATGACGTACAATATCTGAAAACTAAATGTACCTTTGCAATAAGATTTCAAAATAGCTTCCTATCCAGAACGTCCTTCGTCAGACAAACATTTTGATTATAATCACACTTCTAAATGTTTATTCCTGTCTAGAATGTCCCACCTTAATACCAACGATTACTATAGAAATCCAATGAATTTGAATAATATTAAAAAGAACATATATGGCGTTCTGTTAATACAAGGACCTTTTGCAAGATTTTAATGGATTCACCTCACTGGTCAACCAGCATATCGTAAGATACGTCACTAAGCTAGCTACGTCACATGTGAATTAAAAATTCCATCAACAAATACGTCATTATAAACTCATCATTGATAATTATTGATTTTAGTGTAAAAGTATTTTCTTCTGACATGTATCTTCGATAATTCCACTTATTGTTTTCTTTATTTTCGTGATTATTTCACGAATAAAAGCATAACTGGTTAAGTGTGGTGTGCTTAAGGCCCAGTTGCCAATATTTTTACGTATATTCAGACGAGGACAAATTTAGAATAAGTATTATAGAGAACTTTTCATTAAAAGTAATTTAAAGTTTGGCGTATAGTGCAAAATAACAGTTTTGAAAGTTTCTTGGATTTTGTGATTACCAAAATGATAAAACATAACGATTGTCATTTTCGTCCTATCTAAATAAAAGTAAGACCTCTCTTCATCGGTTAATCGTCGAAGGTAAAAGTATAGCGAAGTAACAGATATAATTATATTTAATAAGATTGACATAATATGATGTTGTATATTTATTTTAAGACCTCTCTTTTCTTCAAGAGGTCTTAAGAAGGAATTAATCGACCGGAATCTATTATTGGAAAACTCAATAGTTATTTAGAAGATTGAACTATTCGTAGGTCACAAGTTCAGAAATACATTTTCTTTGAGGTTTAAGTAAAACTTTGTGCTCTCCTTCTTGTCTTTATTCAAAAGCCACTAACACGAAACCTTTCCCCTAATTTGTTGTTCAGTTTCCACACCGATTAAATTGTTCTGATGTTATGTTATAAAAACCACGTTTTGGGTTATGCCCGGCATAGGTTATGTACATGCACAGAATGATTAGATTATTTTTTCCGTTTATTCAGCAAATGAAAACTCAGGTGATCTTAACGTTATTTCTGGTTTAAAACAGACAATAAATTATACATGTAAGAGGGTATGAATGGGGTTTACAGAATAGAGAAAACCGATAATAAGGAAAAGTTAAAGAATAGAGAAAGAATAGAGATAAGATAATAGTGGAGTGATCAAATATAAAGAATAGAGAATAATTGGCCAACAGAAAAAACAACAAAGAATAGAGAAAATGCCTTAAATATCAAAGAATACAAAAATGAAGATTTCCCATCCAGACCCTCATGAAATGTGTTATATCAACTTTTTTATATTAAAAAGATTTCAGATATAAAACCTGGATCTTCTCCAGACACAGTTTCATTTCAAAACATTTTTCAAGATGTTGCAAGGATATGCAATCGTTCTTTTCACTCTCTTTCTATTTGAAAACGTGTGTGCGAATGCTTGTGGGCATGACAACTGTGAAACAGCAATTGACATACCTTTGATAACAAAACTCAATGCACCCCTTAAAGCAGAGTTAGATATAACAAGTCTAACAATACAACTTAAGGAACTAATAGGGAAAGAAGTTACAAAGGCTGTTTCTAAAGCAGTGAATGACCTCGTGGAAAATATTTTGGATAAGACAGTACAAACAGCTGTGGACAGATTACAGACTTCTAATAGTGTTGCTATGTCAACTTTTCGACAGGAAATGGAAAGTAAGAGCAAAATAATAATAGATTGGAATTTCAGATTTTAATTGTTCTATATTTTTTATCGTACATACAGTATTACTCACACCTCAATGAAATCGGTTATTATAGTATTAATAAATGGGTGTTTTCATAATGGCCCTGTTATAATGGTCGAGGATGCCTGTAATGGCACGAGGCAACGCCTAGGGACATTACAGTCTCCGAGGCCATTATTACTGACCGATGACAAATAACAGGGTCAATTTGAAAACACCCATTTCTTAACACTTGTATAACCAAACAGTCAATGTGTAATATTTAAACTAGCCAAATCATTTTTTTTTGTGGAGAAATTGTATATATATAATTATACCAAATGCAATATTAAAAAGAAACTTTTAAAGTGATCATGGTGAGGTGATGGAATAACATGTAAATGTAAATATAGTTTTATTGTTGTATTATTCAAAGCAAATTATGGCATACAAAATACAAGATTTCATTCTTGATTTTAAAACTCATAATTAAATAAATTGATACACATCATGGAATGTATTACGTAATTATTAACTTGACAACTGGGTCAAATAAGATAAGTCATGATTCTTGGGAACTTTCAATTTCTTGATGTTTCTTTTCCCCAGAAATGTATTTGAAGTGATAACAACTGAAAATCCGTAATATAGCCCTGCTTATTCATAATGGCCCTGTTTTTTTCATAATGGCCCTATTTTTTTCATAATTGCCCTGTTTTTTTATAATCATTTTGGCCCTGTTTATCCATAATAGCCCCGTTTATTCATAATGGCCCTGTATTAATGCACTGTTAGTCTGTAATTGACCAGTATTGCTTTTATCAATAAAGGGGAAGTTTCATACATAATGCACTAAACTGGTTAATAATAAGGTACAATGAAAGAACCTTAGTGAGCGCGCTCACATACCCCACGTCCCCACATTGTCATTGGAGAAATAAAATAAGTTTAAGAAAAAAAAATTGTACCAGAAAAAACAAGAGGCTGTCAGAGTGACAGCAAACCAGATTTTCCTGCAGAGGTCGAACCCTGAACAGTTGAGCAAGTATGGACACTACATTTAAGCTTAAAACAGCTCCGAATTTGGATTGTGATTGAATATTTGACACAGCATAGGTTTGTGACACAAAATGAATGTGGTTTAAGAACTGAAATACTTGAAATTGGACATTTAAATACCTATTATGGTCCAATATCAAAAATCTAAGTACGTATTAGAATCAGCATATCAAAGAACCCCAAGAATTCAATTTTTGATGAAATCAGACAAAAGTTTAATTTAAGACCCTTTGGACCTCAATGTGGACCAATTTGATAAAGGAGCCCACAATCCAAAATCTCTCAATACATGGTTAGATTCGGCATTTCAAAGGAACCCATCAATTATTTTTTTGTTGAATCAAACAAAGTTTAATTTTGGACCCTGATTTGGACCAACTTGAAAACTGGGCCCAAAAATCTAATATTTAAATACTGGTTTAGATTCAGCATTTGAAAGAACCCTATATATATTTAATTTATTAATATGTTGAAATGAAACACAGGTTAATTTTATCCATAATATTTCTGTGCAAAGGAAAATAACTCAAACTGGATATGATGCAATTTTTTCAAATTATAATCAATAATATAATAACAACAACCAGTGATGACTT